AACCAACAGAAAATACTTTGGTTTTTAGAAAGGTTTCCAGAAACCTTCGAAACTAAGAGAATATTTTTTATTGGCTCAAAGTACAGAATCAGAAGGAGAGCATAAAATAGACTATTTCCTGACATTCTGAAGTAGATTGGATGAATTTTGACTGAGTTACGAATTTTCTAATTTTTTATGGAAAAAGCCAAAAGTCGGTTATTGCAGTTATCCCACGTTGAAAAACTTTGCAAAACATCTCATTTTATTCCGAACTGATGACTAAATAGTTGAAGAAGACAATAAAAGTAATATAAAGAGAAGATAGACTCTTAAAATAGGAAGTGCTTATGTCATTATGTAAGACCAGGAAGAGTGACATGGACAACTTTCTTTGTCCAACAGAATTGATCATACAGTTGGATTCTTTGACTTTTTGCATAGTAGACTTTAGTTTTAATTTGACACAACGAGTGTATTTTGTGGAACTTTTCTCCTCTTTCGACACATATATACTTTAGAATTTTATTTTCAAAGAACGGAGAAAAGAAAACGATGCAGTTTTTTCGATTCTTTCCGATACTTTTTTGTAATGCTTCTCTTAAAAAATTCATATTTTCATGAGCAAACGTTTTCAAGGCTTAAAAACTTCAGCGTCTTTGTAGTTTTATGCGGAGAATCGAATGAGCACGATTTAGGAAACAAAACCATCTTTCCTCATGCAAACATGAATTTTTTACAAGCATTACAAAAAGTATCGGAAAGAATCGGAAAACGTGTCTGTTTTATACATCATTTTCTTTTCTTCGTTCTTTGGTTTAAAATTCTAAAGTAAACCTAAAGTAAAACTCCACAAAATACACTCGTTGCGTCAAATTAAAACGAAAGTCTATAGACTTTCGTTTTAACTTGACACAACGATTCTTTGACTTTTTGCATAGTATACTATGCAAAAAGTCAAAGAATCCAACTGTATGATCAATTCTGTTGGACAAAGAAAGTTGTTCATGTCACTATTCCTGGTCTTACATAATGATTATATGACATAAGCACTTCCTATTTTAAGCAAATAAACTACAATAAATTTGCATTATTACCCACTGTATTTCGTTTATTCAATGACGACCTACATTATACCTTCGACGGATCACACCCCGAAGAAAAAACCGGTAAGATATGATCCGTCAAGTTTCATGCTAAGTTAATATGAGATGAATGTACAGTCATGTGCGGTAATAGAGCTTTTAAGGGTGTGTGTGTGTGTGTGACCACCTACAAATCTGCCCTCAAATTATGCCAGTTTGTAGAGTGCGTTGAGTACTATGTATCCTCAAGAAATTTCGGCGGTCCTATGAATATTGGTGGGAAAAACGATAAGGAAAACGTTACGTAAACCACTATACTGGTTTGTAGGCTAGCAGAACGAATGGTTTTTCTTTGTTAAATACCAAGAAGTTACTTTCTCTGATTAAAAATGTTATTTATCATAGTGCATTCGCTTCGTTAGTTCACAAGCCACTGTAGTGATTTACATAAGTAATTCACCGAATCCAGTCTATGAATTGATTGATTATTTCTCTGTTTGTTTAGGAACACTGGCTTTTTGTTGTGTGCGAGTTTTCAGACTGTCCAGATTTTCCTATAGGAAAATCTGGACAGTCTAGTATACTAGGTATGTTTAAAATAGATGCCTGCTTTAGGATGTCCGTATTCTTCGTAGTTGACATTTCAAGACATACACATGACTAGTTGGTGACTAGCATCGGAAAAACATCAAAATATACCAGTCACTTGTACATGGTATAAATTATGCACATTTTGCTAATATTTGAATATTTCCAATAGATACCTATAATCTTTTAAAACTGCAGTTTTAGACTTGAAGTCGAGGCCCTTAACTCCTTTCTGTTGAGAGAAGCAGAACCGCGTTTCCTTTTCAAATGACTCTTCGTTAGTATAGAAACCACTGAGAGCCGTTCATTCATACCACAGAGTTCGAAAGCTCAGCCAGATAGTTAGCGCTAACATGCTTCAGTATCGTCGTATATATTTTTGCATTCAAAGTATAAGAAAATGCTTTTAATTACTTTTATTGAATATGCAGCTTCAGGAACATCAACAAAAATAAAATTATAAACTGTACTTATGCGAAACAAGAAAGACCGATTGACATCGTTTATAAAATGCAAGATACTTTTTTAGAAAAACATTAAAAAAAATCACTTGTTTATTCTAATCACTTATTCCACAATCACGCAGGCTAAAAATGGCAGATAAACGTGATTAAAATAATTCAAAAAGAAACAAGCATTTGATCTTATATACTCACCAGAAAATTCATAATAACGTGAATTTCTCCATGAGAAGATAACCCAAAATGAGCAGGTAATTTAACCCTGCAGAGATAAAAAAACTCAATTTAACATAAAGTAATTAGAAATAAATTCTCTACTTGCCAATCATCATAACGTCCTGTTTCAAAAACATGTTTCAGTTTCACTTTTCCATTGCCAATTGAATCTTTGCCAACCAAATCTTTATCATAAACATCGAAATGAATAGTGTCATCTCCTTTGTGGATATTACTAAAATAAAATCAGAACAACGGTTACGAACACATACGAGAACTATATCTGTATACCAGAGTTCCGTATGAACTCAAAATTTTGAGTCCAGTTCAGTGCATGGACTCGAAAAAAGTAGTTCAGGTCAGTCCGAGTCCGCTAGATTGAGTAAATGGTCTAATGGACTTTGAAAACTTCCGTATGCTCTAGGAGTGGTCCCTTAGCAACGCAACCATTATCAACAAACATTTTATTGCTGTCAATTTCTATTTCCTCGCCGTCAGTTGTTACAACCGACGTTAAGCAGAGTAGACCCTAGTAACAATCGTAGACACTTCTTAAAATTTTGTTTGTAAGATCTTGATAAGATAATCCAAGATCTGAATAAGATTTGATGATTCATCCTTTTGTTTTGCTCTCATGCATCTATACAAACAACAACGTCAATATAACTGAATTTTACATTGTTATTTTTCCTTCAGATTTTGTTGGTACTAGCTCTCCTGAAAGTGTCCAATAACTTTTTAGAGAATGTACAGTGCAAGTCAAGGTCCAGAATCGGACTGCCAAAAATATGAAATTTTTCTTCATTCTTCAAACCTGTTCAACTTGTATCACAGCAGCATAGCTTAGATATTCAAACACTGTTAGTTAATAGTAAATTAATGTTATTAAAAAACATAATGGTTGTCACTGTTAAGATGCTAACAGATTCTCATACAGTCTTTGAAAAATCTTAGATAAAGTATAACCCATTCTTAATAAGATCTTAGCAAAATCTTATTAAAATCTTAGATTTTTCGGTAGTAAGATTTGTGTAAGATCTTAGACAAATGTAAACTAAGTCTTACTAAGATCTTAATAAGATTTTTTTAAGATTTTAGTAAGTTTCTCACTAGGGGGTGGAAACCGCAGTTCTCTTTATATTTCCAATCAAACGCTGTTTCGAAAAATGGCCAAGTTCTTTGCTTTTCCGAACTATGAGTAATTCTACGTCGGAGTTTTGATCAGAGGAAAACATGTAAAACAAGTTTGTAAGATTAATCGTAATGTTCCGTAATAATTCCCAACAATCTTGAAAATCAAGGAGGATTTTCTAGATTCTTGGGAATTCGATTTTCTATAAAATAGAAAATCCTCGGCGATTTCATATATGGACTTTCTGAAAATCAACGGCGATTTTCTATAAATAATTTTCAAGATTACAGTGTATCCCTCTTCCGCTAGTTTTTTAGTAAAAGGTGAATCAGAGCACTGAAGACCTTCAGAAAAAGTAAAATATTGCATCACTCAAAGATGTCCATGAAATTAAAAAATTGAAACCAATTCTCTTATACTAACAAGACAAATTTTTCATTCCAAGTTGGATCATTTGTATTATTTTTTGTGGTCGTACGTTGCTTATATTTTTTATCCAGATAAAGTTCAATATAAGGATCATTTTGTCCAACGATATCATGATCTTTTAAACGGCGACCTTCCATGATTGTAACTTCCAATTGTCCTTTCGACATAATAATGAATATTTATTAAATAAGTAGAATAAGAAGAGTGTTGATTAGACTTTGAATGAATAGTAACGTTGACTGTAAGTCTTATCTATTCTAACTATGCTAGACCCTTTATATAGATGTGAATTGTAAGAGAAAAATAAATTTGCTTGTTCTCTATACGTCATGTGTGTTATTCATTGAATGTGAAGAACAAAAGACAAACAACAAGCGTCTTTTCCTTTAAAAAATATGATGACACATTCTTATTCATTTAACTTTTCATACTATATTAATAATAAGTCCAGAATCTTATTATATAGACAGAACGTAGTATACGAGACAGAATTCACTGTCGCATTTTTAATTTGCTTTTTCAGAATGTTAAAAAATATTTGTTTTTGAAGAAGAGAATTGTTGATAATAGATAAGAATCTTAAATATAGAGATACGATATTATTTGTCTTGTTACACAAATGAGGAGCATCTATGCCTATGGTACGTTTGAGCAAATAAAAAATGAGATGATACATTTAAAAAAAATTTTTGCCTCTATGCCAGGGAAAGGACAAATTTGAGAAATTGAGCGGGAGAGTTGAAGTTAATGTTGGAAGAAAGGCGTTTTCGGGATATATAAGCATTGTTTCTGTTAAAATGCAAAAGTGGCACATTGGCAGAATATAGACGTATTTCTTGCAGTGTATCATTGCAGTTTCAATTGTTTCTCTCATCTAAATTTGCCTTACAGCTTTTTGTTATACAACCACAAAAAAGTTATAAAACACATAAACATTAGAGATATTTTTTAGTAAAATACTTAACTTATAAATCAGCCTGTCCAGCTAACGGTCACCTTCACTTAAGATGGTTCGAAAATTTTTTTTTAACTTTAAGAATTTGTGAAGCACATCGTCTAACGTAGTTTTTGAAGCTGATTTCGAATATCAACTTAAAATTTCCAAAAAATAAAATTTTGACCTCAAAAAATGAAATCCAAATTTTATTTTTAATTTCCTGACCTATATATTTTCGCGAAAAAAATTAAGAGATATGATATTTTGTAGAGAATTAAATTCTCTACAAGATAGTATATTTATTTTTGAGTTTAGGTGCTTTCCAAGAAAGTTGGTTTTTCGAAAGACCAAGTTTTGAAACGGGTTTTTCTCCAAGTCAAAACCGTTTCAGAACGTTTTTCTACAGTGCATCGGAAAGATCAGATCAGATACTGTCTACTGCTATCGGAAATATTTTTCTATGACGACTTTTGTAATGGAGTTTAACCTTCTGATTTGAAAGAACCAAAAAAAGCTGTAATTCCGTAACGAAGGTAATTCCGTAACGGACTGTTTTTTCAAATTTTTATATCATCTAGCGATTCTAATGGAAAACCAAGATATTCTGAAAGCTGGTTTCAAGCTACACAACTTTGCTTCAGAACACATCTCAAAAAAAGCTTTCATTGAGCAGAAAAATGTAAAACTTAGATGTCACTAAAAAAAAAGTCCATTTTCGGTAATTCCGTAACGGCCGTTATTTTTTTAATAACTCCCTATGAGATGATCCAAACTCAACGAAATTTTCGGACGTGATAAAACGCGGGACTGTCTACCTCTGGTAAAAGCGTCATTACATTTGGATCATTCTCAGAAAAGTTATGGCACGTGAAAGTTGAAAAAAAGTAATTCCGTAACATTTGGACAAGCCGAAATGACTATAAAGTGTATACTGCATTCATAGAGAAACAGAGAGTGTGTATAGTTTATACAGAACAAGATAGACGATACAATGACTGATATTACGAGTGTGCCTCAATAGAAAATGAACCGTTTATTACTGTTGTAAGGTTTTGTACTTAGAAAGAGGTACTGAGCGAAAGCTGTTAGTGATCTTATTAACTTACTGTTTTTCTCTTGCTCCCTAAAACCTTTTTCATCAGAAAGTAAAAGAAGTTTCTCGTGAGATTTTTTAAGCTTGATATTGTTGTAATAATTATTTTTTCAATGCACTACAGAACACATTGCAGAAATAATCAATCAGCGCCTCTTTGTTTAGTTCGTTAACAATATCTGTTTAGATGCAATAATTAATAGTGATGGTAATGGCAGCAGTTCGAGCTCAAAAGAATGGGAAATGTTAGTAGTTCTTCTAGAACTTCTTTCTTTCTTTCTTTTTTATTTTGGTAACATACCATGGTACATAAAAAAAGTTCAGACATAAGAACGACTTCTAATAGAAAAAATAAACATGTAATTCAAAGTTTCTGCCTTATCATCACCAACAACACTAAAACTAGCAAAAATGCAGCGCGAGAAATGGTTTTTACACTAATTTATGAGGCAAGATGAGTGCATTACAATAAGTTATATTTTACGCTGTTACACCATTGTTCCTCCGCTAACTTACACTCATCTTGCTTACAAATGATGAAAAACAAAGATTTGAAAACAGAGAACGACTAAAGATGAAGATGTTCTTTTAAACCATTTTTAAAGGTTTGAGAGAATTGATGGAAACGGCTTTTTCTAGATTTTTTGCAGTCCTCCAAAAGAAGGATGACTGGACAGTTTCCAAAGGAGTGAAGGGTATGTCGACCGTATAAGAATGCGCTGCTCGAAGAGACCTAGAAGTCAGTTTAACAAGATAAGCCTGAGATTCGAGAAGAGTCAGGTTATTGTAAATTTTATAAAATGATATGAGTCAAAAGTACTGGCATCTGCCACTGAGATCGGGCAGACCTAGTTTATTGACCACAGATAGACTATCAGTTTCGTAATTGAAGTTTCTGGTAATAATGTGACTTGCTAAACGTTGAACCGCCTCTAATGGTTCAAGATGTGTGGTGAATTTAGAATCAGAGTTAACTTGAAATCGGGCTTTATTTTAGAATCAAGTGAAAAATAAGTGTATAAACATTTCTCAACGTTTAGTGACATATAATTTTTTTCATGCTAGTCTGCTACCCTGTCTATTTCAGCTTGTAGCGCGAAATGTTAGTAGTTCTTCTAGAACTGGAACTGTTAGCAATTATTTATTAGATAAGGCTTGGAATGAGAGTGAAAAGCAAAGAGTCAGTTTTTCTCTTACATGACTGGGTGAAAAACAGGACCAAAAACAATGGCACAACTACGGGCGGGCATTAGGTCTTAGCTTAATGGAATTTCTTAGTTAAAGTTTTAGAAAAAACGTCTTCATAGTCACAAGTACAACAGAAAGAGCAGATAGAGAAAATTATTTAGTACCATCCAAAATAATGCAACTTTTACACGTGATACAAAATGGCAAGTGGGACGTTATGCCTCAAACTCTAAGGTGAAGATAGATGGATCAAATATACCTTTTGAAAATTGATTTTGAAGCAGCATAATATAGAAAAATACAAAAACCAAAGATTTGCTCTGTAACACTCGTTTAAACACAAAGAAATGGGAGAGCGAGAATTAATTGAGTCCAGCTGGGCGCTACCGTAATTCATTGCATGTTTAACATTTCTAAAGGAGTTCTATAATCGATATCGACTAATCGAAAACAATAAACATGTTGTTGGACTCATAAGTGGTACAAAAGGAGTAAGCAAATATTAGGTAATTAGACCTGATCAATAGTAGTTAAATAATCAAACTGGCTATTTGAACACATATCGGCGCTGACACTGAAATAAAGAAACTTTGACTGAATGAATGAAATTGTGAAAATTCATTTTTTCTACATCAGGAGCGAAAAAATCGGAATTTTGCCTGCAATTCTCAATTGTCTCCATCAGAACTCAACTTTTATCCAATACAAATATCATATTCCGAATCGCCAAAAACTGAGACGAATGATATGCTTTTCCTATCCGACCCAGAGCTGGAACCGGTCCGGTAAATCGGTACCAGACAGTACCAGTTGAAAAAGTCAACCGTGCCGGTAGAGACCGGTATTTCACTGGTTGAAAGTTTTGAAACATCCGCTCTTTTTATCCTGTTTTTCGTCACAAAACTAAAATTTCACGTCTTTTTCAGTCAGAATAAATAAGACGATGTTCAAGACAGATATTATTTTTTTTCATCACTTGTTTTAAGGTTAAATATTACAGACTCTTTATTGTGAAGGTTCTCTCACATGTGCTCGCAAACTACTTCATTTCTGGGGGAACTTCTTTCTGAAAATCGATTTTCAAAAAACTTCGCCAGGTTTTCGCCGGTTTGAGTTATAATTCCAATTTTCCGGCCCGTTTACCGGCCGGACTGGTTCGCTTATACTTTCAGACCGGTCGGACCGGACCGATTTGTCTTGTCTTAACCGGTTCCAGCTCTGTTCCGACCATCTTAAGCTTTTTGAATTTTCATTTGAAAAATCATTGAGATTTTCATCAAAAACTAAAAATAAATGAAAAATTTTGAAATATGGATCATTCGACGCAGTTTTTGGCGCTGATTCCGAATTGAGTTCTATTAGAGACAATTAAGAATTACTGCCAAAATTCCGATTTTTTTTTTGCTGCTGGTCTAGGAAAAATGAATTTGAAATAAAAAAAAGCGGTTTATACTTTTAAAGCTCGTTTAACGGTGGTTCTGTAGAGGAACAGATGACCTACTAGTTTATTCTTCAACTGGTTTTCTGATAGAAACTAATTGGCATATATTCATACTGATCTTCCAGTTAGAGATGGTCTTTTATCATTGAAAGAACTGTCTAATTAATGCTTGTAATCGATACCTACTGAAAATGACTAAATACTACAATTTCAACATAAAAAAAAATCAATGATCGAATATCATCAACAGCATTAATCGACGCACGTGTGATCATAACAACTTTGCTACTCCCAACAGGCAAAGAATCATTAGTAAGTATCGATGGTAGGGATTGTTATAGTTTGATAACTCATATTTAACTTTATTTATTCGAAGTATAATTGAGCTTTCGAATATCTCCTGTTCATCGTCAGAATTTAGCAGCACACGTATACAAAAAATAAGTAACAAATTCACTCAGTTATTATTTTAAAGAGTTGCAGGAAATATATTAAAATTCGCTACCTTTTTGGTATAAACGATTCTGACCGGAAAGTAAATGAACTACAGAAAAAAATTCATTTTTCTTCTTTCTTCTTGCTGTTTGAATAAGAAGAATATCTTTCAGGAAAAACATACAATGATACAGAACAGTCTGTACGGTTGAATTTTGGCATTTTTGACCGAATGTCACAAGATTCCTACGCTAATAATCTATAATACCTGTTATCTCGTGCTACGATAGAAATATTAGTAAAGTCTGCAGAGTGTCTCGTTTTAATGATATATTTTCCTAGTGTTCATGTCATTGTTTAATGAATTTTGTTTAGCAGTACAATCGCTGCTCCTCAAATTTGTTTGACTCAGCTGTTTGATAACATGAGTCTTTAACATATTTCGAACGGACCAACCGGTCATAAGATGTATAAACGCTTTATTCGCATTCTTTTCGTGTTCATTTGTTCGACGACCAGACGAATAGTTTTTCCAATATAATCTCCATCGTAATCATTACATCCAATTTTATATACCAATCCCGAGATTTGCTCAGCATCAAACGATCTTTCACTGGAAAAAATTGTTAAATATTTGATATCATAAATCATGAATATACCGCTCCATATGATGGAGAAAAAACGGTACTTCAAATATTTTGATTGCACCATCAACAACAGAGAGTGGCAGAAAGTCTGGTTAACATTGTATTTGTACCAAGAGTCTTGAAACGCCAGTTTAGTTTTTTGTTTTATTCAGGTTCCATTCTTATTAGATATTGCTGCTGAGAGGGTTCGTGATGAAGATGACCAACATCAATATTACTGTGACAATTTCTCTCAATTCTATGTGACAATCTCATGCAATCATCTATCAAAATTATATCGGGTTTCGACACCAATTAATTACCCAACAAGAGATTTGTAACAAGAGTTATACAATTATAGCATGCTATGGAATTGTATATATGTTATATGTATCAGACGTGGCATACACTTTGAATTTATTTTTTCTGTTTTGTACGATTGCAAAGATATTTACGTCTTTCACAGAAAATATTGTGAAGAAAATAAAAAACTCATTTTGTTTTTGTCGAACAGTTTGTTTACAGCTCTGGAAGCATGAACAATCACATTACGAACTTTTGGCATCTAAAAAATTAAAGAAAAAGGCTTGAATGTAACATATTGATTTTTTTCTCGAGATATTTAGATGAATTCATACATAAGTGATAGAGTTTAGGATCCTGTGGAACCTTTTGTCATATTATCAAAAATCAACTTCTGAGATATGATGTGTAAGTTGTGTTAAAATGGTTTCTATGTTTAGTGAGATTCAACTTATCGTTAATTTAATGTAGTTCAATCTTAACCGAATAATTTTATTTTGTCATATTAACCCTTTCAAACCCAATGTCCGTTTAAATGGACATTGGCATTATTACTGAAGAAACATTGTCTGAAAAAAATAATCTTATATTGATTTTATTGACTTATCTTATAGAATTAAAGTGGCTATCGAACGGTAAAAAAAAGATACTTTGTTTATGTTTTATGCTAGTCGAGATATTCAGATTTTAAAATGAGGAATATTTTCAAAAAAATTTAAGTTTTTTAGATAATTTTGGGAAAGTTTTTTATTCAACAATTTTTCAGAAATCTATAGGGAGATGGGCTCCTGCAAATTAACTCAGCTGAAGAAATTATTGTTTAAACTGTAGACTGCTGATGGTACAAAATGAAAGATCATATTTTGCTGGAATTTCGAAATCTTTTCTTGATCATTCTTGATTTTCTTCACCATCTGAGCTCATTTTCTGTCTCAACTTCCTCAAGCTTAATGATCTAAATTCAGATATGTTTGGTCTTTGGTTTCTAACGAGAATTTTGGAAAAATCACTTTTTTCAAATTTTAATTTTAAATATAAATTTTAAATATAATTATAAAAACTGAACTTTTTTAAAAATTAAAAGTAACTATTTTTGAGCGTGAAAAAGTCAGGTCTCATATGTTCCATTTTTATAAGCAGTTGACCCCAAACTAAGCATTAAACCCTTAGGGACTTAAAGGGTTAATTAATCGAGTTCACATTGTATAATGTTATTCAGTTTTTAGGAAGCGTTAAGATTTTGCCTTTTCTTCTTCATTCCTTCTTCGTTGTTAAACAGAATATTATAAATGGCAACATAATCTCATAACAACACAGTCGCCATAAAATGAAGCTTCATTTCCTTTCAGTTTTTCGCTTCAGTTATTTCTGTGTGACGATGCGACATGAAAATTTTGTATTTTTTGTTCGTTTGCTTTAATATCAGTATATAGTTAAACGCCGCATGCAACAGTAAAACGAAAAAGAAAAGTAGGTATACTGATTCACGCGTATTTCATATTAAAAACAAAACGGAAAAAATTATCGATATTTATAGAATTTCTTTCTTTCTAACTTTTTCAATACAATCTGATATATACGTCTACTTTGTCTGATTTATACATAGCTACCATAAAAATGACGTTCTTATTTCTCGGCTAGATCGAAAATGACTTATTAAAATTATATGATGAATAATATTTCAAGGTATAAAAAATCAATGTAATAGAGGAAAAAAGAGCACAGCTGGACACAATTGGGATATAAGAAGAGAACTGATGAAATACACAGCCATATAAATAAATATAGCCAAGTGTTTCGAAAACGAGTCTATAACGATGGATGACGACGAATTTGATAAAGTGTCATCAGTAATATTTAATAATGTTAAAAGCATTCCTAAAGTCGGTTTACCAGGGGTTATTATACCACAAACAGCAGATACACGTGCCTTATTATGTGGTCAAGGTTCTCAAAATTGTTTAATGATCGCAACAAGATTTAGAAAAGGACGAGCGATTATTTGTGCACATAATGGTTACGTATATAAATTTAAACCGCCCATCGAAAATGATTATAGTACATTTGTTAAAAATTGTAAAGAGTGGTTAGTGCCAGACTGCACAGTAGCAGATGATCAAGTCGTATCGATTGATGATGTCAGTTCGATGGAAAGTGTTTCGGAAAAAGCAAAAATTCTTCTCTGGAATGGTCATTATGATAAAAGTGAAGAATTTATGAACGCTTTATGCCAATATCTTCAGGATGGTGGTGGACTAGTGTGTGCAGTAACCCCCTGGGGTTGGCTACAGAGATATCCGGGAAAACATCTGCCTGATTTTCCATTTTCAAGATTTTGCGATTATGTAGGAGTACGTTTAACGGATGAATATAACCATTGTTCCGATCCAATACTTGTTCGTCCAGAATTAGTGAAATTTAAAAATATTGATTATGTTGTGAAAGAATTGAAAGATGAACAGAATAATACTGAATACATGACGATTGTTGGGCACGCAATACGGGAATTAGAAGATACTTATCCTGGATTTCCACTTGAGACATTACAAAATATTGTTTTGAACGCCGGAAAGGATGTTATTCCTGAAACCAGTTGTCCAATAACAGATAAAAAGTGTAGAGAATTGTCATCTGGTATATGCGGAATTATGTGTGCACTGCCTGGCATTAAAGCACCAAATATTATGGTAGACACGTTGTTGATTATCGAGTTATTAGCATACTTTATTATGTCTCAATTTAGATGTTTCCTGGTGACTTTAAAGAGACACCATATATATACCCAGATGCTTCGTGGCAAATTGAATCGCACACAAGTGAATGGCACTGTACAGGTACAATTGTAGACTGAAATTACTGAACATGATCTTTTTTTTCTCTTTGTTCCGATAAACAAATGTTTATGTTAAATATCAATCGTTTAGTGTTTTTAAAGGTTTTTATGTTGTTGCTGGTGTACCAATTGAAATTGAAGTACTAGACGGTAAACCTGGTGGTTGGCAAGTACGAATCGGATGTCATAGTGATGATTTAAGAAATTGTGCTGAATTAAGAAGATGGTCATGCATATCAGTTTGTAAGCCGTTAACGAATAAAGTTCGAATGTATTCAGCCTATGGTGGCCTGTTGTTTCTTCAAAGTTCAGAAGGAAATAATAATATTAGTATTCAAATTCATCACGTTGTTCAAGCACCTGTTTATGATTTAAATGACCCAGATAGAAAACAAAAATGGAAACATCAACGACAAACAGACGGGTTATGGGCTGATATCGCCGGTCGTCATATTGTTTTCAATCTTCCCTCAGCAAGTGTCGTGCACATCGATGATTTCGATCCGGTGCTTGAATTTTGGGATCGAATTATTTTAGCTCATCATGAACTCCGAGGCACCAAACCAACTCGTCGCGAACGAGTGGTCTGTGATGAACAACCATCTGCAGGATACATGCACTCAGGGTAAATATATTTTTCTAATATACTTCAATTTATGAACAATGGAATCGTTTTGTTGTTTAGATATCCGATTGTAACGCATTTAGGTAAATATTATTATATTTCGTTGTTATTCTAATTGAGAATCAATAGTAAAGTATATGCACTACTCCGTTTTATCAACGTCATTTAGATGTGTGCCGTCCAGATTCGACATATTTTATTTTGAATCTAGAACATTTAGAAAAAGATGGTGCTTGGGGTTTGTTTCATGAACTTGGTCATAACATGCAACAAAAGTGGTGGAGTGAGTCTAATCCAATCAAAATTTGATAAGTTTTGCGATGATATAAACAATCTGTTTTAATTTTTTAGCGTTTGACGGTACTGGTGAGGTAACGGTAAACATATTTACACTCCATGCTATGGATGCAGTTTGCAATTTGAAAACTTGGATCCATCCGTGGCTAAAAGATCAGTTATCAAAAACAACACAATATCTGAAAGATGGCTCAAATTTTGATCAATGGAAACAGAGTCCAGGAGTGGCTTTATTTATTTATGCGCAATTAGCTCGGGAGTTTGGTTGGGACGCGTACAAACAAGTATTTCGAATATATGAAAAGGCACCACCAACGTTAAATAATGATCAAGAAAAAATAGATCACTGGATTGTAACATTCAGCCAAACGGTTGACTGTAATTTATGCCCGTTATTTAAATTTTGGGGATTTCCCATTAGTAGTTCAACAAAAGATTCACTAAGTAGTTTACCCGTTCGCAACATAAACGATGAATTAATTGAAATTGCTCCCAACCGTTATGCGATGTGATCCGTTTTCATCTAATGTGATAGTAACATTTTCATTTCACATATTTTTTTAAAGCAAAAGGAGAAAAAATATAATTAGTTCGTATTAAATACACATAAATATTTCTGTTTTTTTTTGTTGTTGTCTGTTATTTTGCTCATTTTCTTTTTTGTTTGTACTATAGGTGTTATGTATTTTTAATGGACATTTCGTAGCTTCTTATACGTGAAAGAAAAAAATGGTTAACCTAGTAAATATTACTGTGTCATTGTCAGAATATAAAATATTTATGGGGAGAAAGTAATATCCTTAAGAATTTGAACAAATATTTAACCGATAATAAACCAGTTGTATATATTTAGTAATAAACGCATTCATATCAACGAGAAAGCTGAGTTTATGAGAAATATTTTATGTTCTAAAAATGTGCCATTATATAGAATTAGAAAATGAAAAATGTCCCGTTGTCTGTATGATACTAATACTGTTACCCATATGTTTCATAGTAGACTCAATGAGATATAAATATATATTAAAAAGAATTTTTATAAAATAAAAATCATTAAAGCCTATATAAAAAAGCGGTTCTTATTGCAATGGAATGGATAATAGTAAACATTGTTAATGATGTTGTGCTTCAGTAGTAGTATCATAAAAATTGTTTAATTTTTCAAAGTTGTTGATTTATGTTTTACCTTTTGAAATAATTTTAAATCATCTTTAGCATGTGATATACGATGAAATGATTGAAATGGTGGTCGCTCTTGTAAAACACCATCGCGCTTATATGAGAAAAAAGCACGAGCTGTGGTTGGATCTCTAGAAAAATATATACTTTACTATACTTGACTAATAAACAGAATAAAGTTTCCTACTTTTTCAACATGTCAAGTGTTTCTTTTGTCTTACACGTTCTTGGATCTTTGCTACCATACAAAAATTCTTGAATATCAAAGCACTAAAAATAAAAAGTACAAAAAGTTGTTCAGAAACTAAACAAGGTAATATAAATAGCTGAGTTTCCATATTTCAAATCGGATCGTGAAGCTCAGCTCACATGCCTGAATAAGTTTCATACTTACTTCTACATCTAGTTGCTGCTTATCCTTAGACCATATTCTACGAATACTACCCATTGCGGTATTTTTAGATACTTTTGAGACTACTGACCGCGTTCAAAAATTCGAGCTCAATCGTTACAGACAACGAGAAATGTCAGTTATCATTCAAGCACATGAAAACGTTTGTTTCCAGTCGGAAAAGAGCGCTTATTTATGTTCTGCCCAAAAATAAATCCAGAAACGAGTATGGTTGTGTTTAAACACATGAACGCACTTATTTATGTTCCAAAAGTGAATATGTTTGTTCCGACATATTTCCAACATAGCCCGTACATTTCTGATTAAAATGAGACCTCTCCCCACTCTACTTTCTTTGCAAAGTTATAGAATTTACAAAATAAGCCCTAAATATTCATTGTCCACTCAAAGCTACAGAAATAAGAAGAAATTAATTTACGGCTTTTCCGAATATTCATATTCGGAATCAGCATCATCGATAACCTATAACCCACTAGGTTACGTTGAAAAAGCGAGGGGGTACTTAAACACGTTCCCTCGTTAGTAGCTTACCCAGTCTACTGGAACATCCTGCTCCTTAGAATCCAACCAGCAGATTGGCTACCACCCGCATGAACTGCGTACTTTCTCAGAAATCGGATGACTCCGCATGATAGAGCAGGACGATTTGTACTTGGAGCGATATCTGTGATTTCGGATGCCTCACAGAAAGGGCGTTTGCAGCGAGAGGAAGCTGGAAAAGATAAAACTATCTGATGAGTCATCCCTGCACGATTAAAAATATATTCCACAATTTCGAACGCAAACAAACGCATTTTACAGTTTGAAATGGAAGAAAAGAAGGAAGAAAAAAGCATTTTTTTCACGCTTTATCTATGTTATTTACGTACATATTTTTACTTACTGCTTTAAAACGTTCAGCTGCACTCAGACTATCAAGCTGTTTCAAGTAGAGTGCACCAATGCGGGATTGTGTCTGAATAACTTCTTCTGAAAAATCTCCATAGAAATCGATTTTATTTTGTAATGAATTACAAAGTATTTCTAATGCTTCCTAAAACAATAATAAAACAAACGATGAATAATTTCAGTCGCTTTCATATGAATTACATCATGTTATAACCTCATCTTGATCATCTTTTATATAAAATGTTGCCAATTCATCGATAACTTTCAGCACATTTTTGCTTGTATCGCCCTCCAATTCTTTGTAGATATCCAATGACCGTTTCAAATTTTCTTCTGTTAGAGCTAAATGTACACAAGAAATAGCCAATACTATACAAAAGTGTGTGTAGACGTCATACGTACACGTTCGCTCGTTAATACGTAATTCAGTTTTAGCCAATAAGAACAAGGCATTTGCTATTTGAAGTCGATGGATATCAGATGGTGTTTTTTCCTCATTCTCTTCCGCCAGTTTTAATGCTTTTCTGTAATAATCAATTGCTTGTTTCGATTCACCCCGACCCACTTCATACAAACCACAATCTTGATACAGTTTAATCGTTTTTTTTATGCGAACATCGTCATTTTGTTCATAGTGTTTTTTATATAATTCGATTATTTCTTCAGCCGTTTCGTGAATATCCGTCGACATTTTTATTGTATTGTTTAATAACGCCCGAAATTTAATTAGCATCAAATCTAGTTGGTGTTGATCATAGTGTTTGATGTCCATTAATTTTTCTGTATGTTTTAAGTAGTTTTCTGAGAGCTGAAGATCGTGTTCAATGTGTGTTGTGTCAATTGATGATAAATATTTATCCTTTTTTCCGTTTTGTGTTAACGACGTCAGCGATAATAAAGAACATTTTGCAAGTAACAAATACGTTCGATAACCGAGTAAATTTTGGTTCAGATTATCCGATAGGTATAACTGGAGACGATCAATAATATTTCGAGATGATAATGCGTGAGTTTTTGCTTGAGGTATAAGACCTAAATTCTAATGACCGTTTATTTGTCATACAGTAATGTATGTACAGTATTTCCAGACTTACGTTTCTGGTTGAGATAAAAAAATGCTAATTCTACATATGCAATGGCATTTTCTACAGATAATTCACCATATTCCAGTGAACTGTACAGTTGACACAATACCAGAGGCTCAAGCAGATCAGGAGACTGAAATGTAATCGAATCACATAAAAAATAAATGTAGTTGGCGATAAAAATGTGAAGTACCTTCACATTCTTCTTTTGTTCTTCAATATGTTGTTTGAGATCACTTAGTTTCTGCCCTGTGGAACATAAGTCGACGGCTGTGAGAGTGACATTAGTTGACGCAGGTGGAGGATGACTGAATTTATCCTTTTGGTCAAAACTCAAGCTTCGACGACGATTCACACGTCGACGTTGACGACTAGCAGTTGATGGCCGCGTTGGTCTGAAACAAATAGCTTTTGTTTATCTCTTAGGCTAAACATATTGATTGGTCTTCCTTAGTCGCCTAGTGACAGAGTGCTGTGAGTTACGTTGAACAGCCGGAGTTGTCTTATCGATCAAAGTAATCATGACATGTGACTATTTTACTTTATGAGATACTACACAGTTTTTGATTTTTTGGGATTTAACGTATTACCTTTCAGGCATCTGTTTCTTTGCTTTTACCAGAATAAATTTCGTGCTGAGTACTTCATGGGCAAATCTCTACCATTGAACTGGTTCAATGTATCTAATGCTAAGCAATAGTGTAGCTGCCCATACATATTCCATGAGTATTTCACGTACCATATTCTCATATGAAGTAACATTCTCAATTGCAGATAAGAGTTTTCCCTTGAAATTCTTGATTATGGCAATAGTTATTACAAGATGTCGCTTTTGAGAAGCATGACTTTCGCTGTGTAAACCTATAGTTATAAACATCCACATCAGAGTAATCGAGTTTTATGTGCAGAATACGAAAAAGCACTTTTCCACTACTCTGCATGGACTTTATTTTTTTGTGCACATTAATATACATTCTTCAGCCCAGTAGATTTTCTTGCGATATTAAGGGTGTTCCCTCCTGTTTCACCTTGTGGCCAAATGTGGAGCACACCTCCGATCAAGCTCAAATTTATGCCAGAGATAGAAGAGCGAAAGAGAAATCAATGTATTTTTGCTCAGAATTTTGTAATATGATCTTCTATGGATTTTCTGGAAAACTCCAGTTTTCAACCAGTCCATTATGACCCGAAAAG